AAATCATTACCTCTATCATGACACAACGCCTTCCTTCAACTTTCGTGGGGGGAGGGGGGTTCCGTAGTTCTTTAAGTACTAAATAGGATGGGAGGTGGGAAAAAGAGCTTTCGCTGGTGCTAAAACGGAAAGGTCGCTAAGGAATGCCGTCCCGCAGCTGCATAATGCCGTATCGCGACTTTTCGCCGTTGTTTCCATAGCGACCACATGGACAAAATCCGCTATAAAACGGTCATTGTATCGCGACTTTTCCACAGCGAGGCGCCGTCACCTCGCTATGGAATTGCTACTAGGGGCGAATGGGCCGCCTTAGGGGGTTGGTTGGAAAGGCGGCCTCCGAGCTTCCTGGGGCCGGCTGTCGCCGAGTGTCATTAACCTGCATTGCATGCTGGTTCTCAAGGATTCGTAACTTGCTCTTTACGAGCCAAGCAAGTTGTTTACGCATAAATGCGATGGTCTTGCCCTGATATATCAGCCTGCGTATCAGAAATCATTGCCCGACAGGACGGGTCATGGCATACTTCAACGAAAATTGGTGTAACATAGCATTACCTGTGTCGTTTTGCTGTCTTCGTGCTGGGAGGGTGTCGACAGATTCTCGATATCGGGTATTGCAATACCCGATTTGAACAACCTGGTTATATATACAGACAATTTTTAAATGATATTACAAGATTACGCATTAAAACTAACAACATATCATAAAAGACAGTGACGGGGCATTTTATTACGTCCCACAGTAAAGTCTCAATGTAGACCACAGTGGGCAGTAAACGCACTCACGCCAAGCAGAAGGCAGCTCACGTGGAAGAAAAGTGCCGCACAGTGACACAGTTAAACATTTGTGCACATTATTCAGGATCGTCCAGGCATGTCGAAGCGCCAATTTCACCAGTTCAAAAGTACTTTTTCCCGTTAATAAAGCTTACTTTAAATGAAAACAGCATGTATGTTTACGGAGTAGTGCCTGTGCACCATGCATTAACTACGAGAATACTTTGAGAGGGCTAGCCCCTTTCTAACTCCTTCTTTGCTGCCTATCAAGAGGGGACCAGGTGCTGGCAGGTTAGATATCTAATAGATACCTACTTGACATAGTTTGTTACCAGGGATATTACCAGTTTCCTTGTGCCAGACATTATTTTTGTGGCATTCTTCGCAATTCCACTATTCATTATTAATAAACAACTCGAAAACTACCTTTTAGTCTTCATGGTATATGTAAGACCCAAATACGTGGGCCACGTCATGGGTTCAAAGCCCTCAGCATAGACCAATACACGGGAAAACAAGTTGCATATCTGCATGAAGCGGCGAAGTAATGCATGGGTATTATATTAGATAGAGGAGGAGCGTACATTTAGAATTTATTTGATATGTATTGTGCCACTACCCTTTCTTTTGTCTACTTCGTTCTATCTCGACATGTTGATGTCAAGGGTATATCGACAGAAACCCAGGTCGATACCCAGACAATATTACTATCTGGACATGATACTACGGGACCCTAGTAGCCGCCTTTGTAAATACCTAGATAAAGCACTAAAAGCTCCGTTTCTTACCATTTTGTCAATTAAAATCTTAGAACTTTTCTTAGTCTTCCTCTGAACCCATAAATGGCATTATAAATGGTGGGGATGGAAGGTCGGATCTAGAGGGTGGGAATAGTTACCTAGGAAAGATGGCAGCTTCTGACGAGGAAAGGGTCTTCTGCACTATAAGCAATAAATATCGAGATAATACACGTGAATATTGAGTTATCGAGATATGTATACCTTCCACACAACTCTCCACGCCACTAAAGGAATGGGATAATACAGGTTTGTCACGGCACCTCTTGGCAGTGTCAGTCCTCTAAGAACACAGGCTGCACTTTGACTGCGTTTGTTTTGACTGTCTGCACAGTCAATAGGATGCCAGTTGGGAATGTGTTACCATTATTTAAAAACCCTAATTCCAAGGTTTAATAACAGTAAAAGTGGAAAAAAGAGCGCGTTGCGCAGAACGGGTAGTTAGATTTCCAGTTTGGCGCTTTTAGTTGAGCTTAGAAAACATCGAATTCGGCCCGAAGTCGAAATAACTGCCAGTTGATGATTTCGGATTATTGCCAGTTGTCGGTTGTAACAGGCCAAGCGATTGAAGGTAGTGTTTAAGTGAAGTGAAGCACCTCAAATAGGCGTGCAACCGGTATGGGGATGGTGTGCTGGAGTGTCTGTGAAGATGCCGGTACCCTTACTATTCGCAACTGTCGACTTTGCCACGCCGATACCGCCGTAGCAGAACATCTCGATTTCTCTCCCCCAGAGTCTGCATTCCCATGTCCGTTCGCTGCAGTAGTTCCTACTTCTGCATTTCCACCGGCAAACTAACAGACAAGACCGATCACCCACAACTCTCCATGTGTCTATTGCCCAAGTAGCGTCCAATATCATTCTAAATAGCACCCTGATTATAAATTTACATGATTAGTGTAGTGAGCAAAATATGCACACGCATCTGTCACCCTTTCTTACAAACTTTGCATGTGTGTTTTCAGTATGATGCTAGTCAATTCCATTTAGTATTCCCACGAACTGGGGAAAGACAATAAATGCTTAGTTATCCGTGTATGTGAGAGAGAGTGTGTGTGCGAGTGTGTGGGTTCAGATCAGTTCAGTTCAGTTTATTGAGGGAAATAGGCGTAAGCCTTTGAGTACCCTATTTGCAACGTAAAAAATGTATGGTATACAGATAAATTTTCTGGGCTGAAATAGTTAAAACAGGCCCATAATTGTAGGACAAAATGAGAACGGGTTACAAGGGGGTGAGCTCTACTTCTCATCCCTCATGGTCATTTTGGAACATAAATATGGCAAGATTCTTTTTAAAACTTTCTATGGATGGTGACATCACAACATCTGCGGGAAGCTCATTCCAAGGTTTGACCACTCGAACAGAGAAGGAGAACTTCTGTACATCCAACCTTGCATGCTAAGTGCGCAGTTTTAACGGGTGACCTCGGAGGTTCGTCGTGGTAGTAAATTCAAAAAAGTCTTCGAAAGCTAGGCTGCAATCCAACCCCTTAACAATGCGGAAGGCTTGCAAGAGATCCCCGCGAAGTTGCCTGTAACTCAAAGGAAAGAGGTTCAGATTTACTAGGCGAGTTCAATAAGGAAAGGAGCTTTGACTCCTAACCATCTTCGTGGCCCTCCTCTGGACCCTTTCGAGGCAGTTTTGATCCTCAACAGCCCACGGCCTCCAAGCTTGTATGCCGTACTCTAAATGCGGCCGGATAAATTTTCCGAATGTCTTAGGGAAAGCTTCTTCGTCAAAGTCGATAAACGCACCTTTGATGGCGTACAGTACGGACATTGCGGTTTTTTCCACTCTCGAACAGTGGGCGGATGGCTTTAGGGAACTCATCATCAGCACACCGAGGTTTTTTTGGGCTTCGGACTCTTGTAGGGCTGCACCGCCCAGAAAGTAGTTTCTTGTGCTTGCGGATCAGGCTGAGTTGCCTAGGCGAAGTACGCTACATTTGGCAAAGTTTAACCGCAGGAGCCAACGGTTTGACCACTCCTCCAACCAAATCAGGTTCATCTGCAGTCTGTCTCCGTCGGCAGGACCCCGAATTACAATCAATATCTTCATGTCGTCAGCAAACATTGTTACTTCGCAGTCTAAAACTCTTGCAGCATCGTCCACGTAGATAAGGAACAAGATGGGTCCCAGTACTGAACCCTGGGGGACACCACTCTCGACCATAGCAGGGTCTGATTTTCACCGACCGATGCAGACAACCTGGTGTCGACCCACAAGAAGTTTTCAATCCATTTAAAAAAAAGTTATAAATAAATTAAATAAATAAATAAATTTTATATTTAATGCCAGTTTACAGGCATTGTCAAGGGAAGCGATTAAACATAAATCCGACAAGCAGTGAAAAAAACTCCTGAGCTAAAGGGATAAAAATATAGTTGATGGTGGTTTTTATGGTTTGGAGGGCTCAGGAGAAAAAACTGCCGGCGGTGGTAGAATATCGACCGTCAAGAAGGGGGGAGGTTGCACGGTATCGGAGATTATCGGACGTCAAATTCCTTTCATGAAGTTGGGGATAGTCAAAGTAGAGGCGTTGAGGAACAGCTGGTGAGACCGGCTATAGTGTTCAGAGACCACAAACGCCATCGCTACGGTGCAGTCGATCAGAGTTTTCAGCACCCAAAATTTGTAGGAGCTTTTCTGAATGCAAAAATCGAGTAATAGTTCTCTTAAATAAAGGAAAATTTTGCAGAGTTTTCGCACTCATGGGTAGTTTATTCCAAATAGCAATTGCATTTACAGAAAAGAACCGACGATATTTAACAGTAAGTGCCAGAGGCAGAAAAAAAAGACCTCACGGTGACTGTTACGTCGTGGGTGAATATGATGTTTTAAAGAGGTGAGTGGGTTAAATGTGTGATTATATAAGACCGGGAGTCCTACATGGTCAGCGACGCCGCCAGTCTAAAGTCCCTACTGGCGAGGGTTAACAGGATTCTGTCTCGACTAAAGAAGGAAAAAGTCATCACCGTCAAAGAATGGTATATGGCAAAGCCCACAGAAACACCGATGGCGAGATTCTATGGTCTTCCAAAGGTACACAAGCCAGATGTTCCCCTCCGACCAATCGTCTCACTCCGAGGCACACCTACGTACGGGCTCGCAAATTGGCTGTTTCAGAAGCTAAGATTCATAACCGCGGGCTCAGAAACAACAGTACACTCAGCAGAGCAATTCCTCGACAAAATAAGGGCGGTCAAGATCGAACCGAATGAGAGGATGGTGTCATTTGACGTCGTCCCACTCTTCACGTCCATACCACAGGCCCTTGCGGTCGAGACGCTCAGTGACCTGCTTCGTCAGAATTACGACGAGGGCGATGGCCAGCCCACAGCTAAAGATCTCATAGAACTCATGGGGTACTGCCTCAAGACATTTTTTCCTTCGAGGGAATCACCTATGAGCAAATAAAGGGCACTCCGATGGGTTCACCAATCTCCGGATTCATTGCCGAGGCCGTTCTGCAAAAACTCGAGAAACGACTGTTCGGGGAATACAAACCCAAGTTTTGGGCGCGCTACGTTGATGATACCTTCGTAATCATCGATGAGGATAAAATTAGCTACTATGAAGAACTATTGAACTCAATCATCCCCGACCTACAGTTCACGATGGAAGAAGAAGTGGAGAGCAAACTTTCATTTTTGGATGTTCTCATCTACCGCCAACCAGACGGTAAACTGGCGACGTCAGTCTACAGAAAACCGACGAACACGCTGCAAATGCTCAGCTACAACAGCAACCACCCACTGCAACACAAACGAAGCTGTGTACGCACACTATACCGACGGGTGGAAACCCATTGCAGCACTCCAGTCGCCAAACTGGACGAGATGAAGCTCCTGTGAGAACTCTTCAGAGCCAACGGCTATCCGCGAACATTCGTTGAACGGAACCGAAAGCAACCAAGGAAGCGGAATGAAGAACCTATTCAGCCAAAATCGTGGCGGAGCATTTCATACATGAATGGGTTCTCCGAAGCCGTAGCCAGATTCCTCGCGCCGCTCGGAATAGGCGTTGCCCACAGGCCCGACTCAACAATCCGCCGGCAAGTGATGCGACCAAAAGACCCGATCCCTAAACAGGAGATGTCGGCTGTTGTCTACCGACTTCAGTGCAACTGCGGAATGTGTAACTA